GGAAAGGCAGGCTGCTCACCCCCTCAGCCGTAGTCTACCTCTCCTGACTATTTATTTTCATTTTCATTTTTTAAAAATCAGCTGTTGTTTACTAGTTTTTCCAGGATTTATGAACTGGTAAACGAATCACCATATTTTCTCACCTGCCAAAAAAAGAATCCAGAAATAACTGTATTCTATTCTCCTTGGTTTTGAAGGAATGATTCAACATGAAGAAGCCTATGAGCCCCCCAGCTCCCAACTGAGCCAGAAACACTCCAGCCCACAGGACAGAGACAGACAATTCTGGACACAAGCTCATCTGTTCTCAGAAACATTCATAGAGTTAGGAAGGGGTCCTACCTCTTCTTTTGTCTTTTTGGACAGAACCCGTAGCCAATCTCCGATCATACTGAGGACAGCTGCAAAGTAGGCAAGGCCAACAAGGATCCAAAACCACACTAGGGGCTTATACCACTCGCGATAATTGATGCCAGCGTTTCCCCCTGAAAACAACCAAATGTTACTTTAACCGTGATCTAGTATATGGTCTTTGCAGAGAACACATATTCCAGTCTATGTAGTGAAGACGTCATCCATCATTGTCTAGCACTCAGTTGTTAGGTCTGCTGTGTACAAGGTGGACCGGGGTTAGAGGGCAAGGGGGAGACCCGTCCCTTACCCACAGGAGCCTAACTTGAGGCTTTATTTCCCTCAATTCTTGACCACTAACCTTAATACCAGAAATAAAACACGCCAGTGGCTAACCTGACCTACTTATGCTGAACCTGAGCGTTGAGGATGAATGACTCTGAACTACAGCACAACACATCAGGCCTGGCTGTCACTGTTTTTTCTTAAACTTCTCTAAATTTATTTTAATAAAAATCAAATATCATATCGCCCCCTATGGTTTGGAATTCTTGGAACCATTTCCATCTTAAGCACTCATACATTGACTAAGAGACAAGTGGATGTGTGAAAGTAAAATTAGCTTTAATGGCATTACTGGGACTTTGATGCAAGCAATAGTGATTTAATGCTAACTGAGGAATGGTGTTTACATAGTGCTACTCCAAAGGGTCAATTAGGCTGAGTAATTAGAGTCACCATGAGCTAGAACTAAAAGGGACCTTTGAGGCCAATCCTTTTATTTTATAAATAAGGATTACAGTAAAAAAATCCATCAAACCAAATTGGCCAGTTGCCTGATTGCATTGACTGGCTGTTCCATTGAAAGGACCAGTCATTTATTCTGAATAATTAGCCTATTTATTCTAACCTTCCTATAGGCACTGCTGGAGGCAGCCATGCAAAACAGGTTGCAAGCCCAACCCACCCTCCTAAAGAGGAAGTGAGGAAGCTTCTGGAAATAACGGACATCAGCCTCGCTCTCTCTCTGGGAAACGCTGTTGCCTAAGGAAGCAGGCAGTGGCTGTTTCTAAGACGACAGATACTAGCAATGGATTGGTAACTACAGTATTAGGTGATGAGTGATTAGAGACTTCCCCACTGGACCAGGGTTGTAACCACATCTAGCACCACTGACTCTTACAGCAAAGGCAGCTGGGCAAGAAATGTGACCTGTGGCTCCTCTCGACAAGCCCAAACCCAATCAGCAACACAGCCCAGCAGACCACAAGGTCCTGACAGCTACTGCCACTTCTTAACGTTAGAATTCCAACTTCTCTGTGCCAAGCCCCCTTCAGTTTGGTCCAGCTGCTTTTGGTTTTTCCTTTCAGACAACACTCTCCTGCATCTTTATAGCTTGAGGATACGATTTGAGTTCCTGTACCAGTAAGTGGTTTTTGAGGTTCATTTCATTTCTGTGGTTTCTGTGCTATGCCCGAGAAATCTGTAGGTTTCTCCTGTGGGCTATCTGGGAGTAAATATTTACCTTTGCAAGTCACTATCACCCAGCAAAGACGGTCACTAGGGTGCGCTAGTGAACAAGGAACAAAGAAGCAGGCAGTCAACACCCTTCTAAATATCCCTTTATGAGCTGCTTATCTGGATTCGGAGTTCTGTGTGTGCTCCCAGACAGAGCTGCAAAATACTGTAAGGCTGTCCTAAAGTGAGTCCGCTGCAAAACAAATCAGCAATCAATCCTGCAGGATCAATGTTCTGATTACATTTCTAGTAGAGTTTGTACTGTGTCAAATCACAGCAACCATCAACTCTGGTTAATGTATCTTTTTCCAATGATTGGGCAACCTTCCCTATCACTCTTAGACTGTTACCAAAAGATAGAGACAAACTTCCAGTCTTTTCAGGCGTGCATTCTCCAGATTGGTGTGTGTAAGCTCGGAAAATTGGAGCTTGGAAGGGGTCTGGCCTAATTGCCGTCAGCACTGTGGTTTTTAAGAGACCATGGTCTGCAGAAACCTCAGGACAAAGGAAATATGGCTCTGTAATCACTGACAAGGGCCATAAAACTGTGCATGCCTAGGACTGTGTAGGTTGTGTCCTTACTAGGTAAGTAAAGATAAGGTAAAGTGCTAGTTTGTACGAAGTGCTCAGTCCATGGTAGATATTAATAATAAATAATAAATAATAACAAATAATAAAAGCATCATTTAAAAAATCTCACTCCCAGGCCTCTGCTGTTTGTGCCTCAGACTAACAGACCAAACTGAGCCATTGGTTAGAGATCTGTGTCTGTCACAAGTATCTTAAAATAGATAGTCCTCGGGACAGCCCAGTGCTATCCCAGAGAGCTCTAAAGCACTACACACTGCAGATTATGCTTTGGGTACTTAAAGGCGTTTGTGAAATAGTTCAAAATTCCAGCTGCCACTACTTGTGTTTGCCTCAGATTGGAACCACTACTGAGTTTTCTCATAGACCAGCTACGGATGATGCTAAGGGATTAACTGGAATACATCTATAACTGTTCCTCTTACTTTTCTCAGTTTCTCTGTGCGGTCTCTCTTCGGAGCTTGAGGCCACTAACTAGATATCCATGGTTGAGCATTGCGCGTAAGGAAAAATGGGTAGAGTCCTAGACTCCAGGCTTTCTGTAAATGATTTTTAGTCAAATTGTCAAAAGTCAAAAAAACTAAATTCAGTCACTTTGCAATTCTTAGTCCTTAAGCAATAAAAAGGAAGGGGGAAAAAAAGCCCTACTGTTTCTACAAAGTGGAATTCAGTCTTTGTCTGCCCAATTGGAAGAGCTACAAAACCACTCTGCCAGTTATTTGAATTGTAAAATTAACAGGGAGGCACCTGCACCCCTATTGATGAGCCTTCAGCAATCTCTTCCAGAATGTCCTGTTTGCCAGACTCCCAGAGACCAGAACCCACTCCTCCTGATGTGCACAGTATTTCCATGGAGAAATCAAGACCCTGCTGGGATCACACGCCAAACAAGAACGGTCTGGCCAGGTGCAGTGGCTCACACCTGTAATCCCAGCACTTTGGCAGGCTGATCGCATGAGCCCAAGAGATGGAGACCAGCCTGGGCAGCATGACAGTATCCCATCTCTACAAAAAATACAAAAAATAAAAATGAAAAATAGCCAGGCGTGATGGCACACGCCTGTAGTCCCAGCTACTCAGGATGCTGAGGTAGGAAGATTGCTTGAGCCCCAGAGGTACGAGGCTGTGGTGAGCCGTGATCACACCATTGCACTCTAGCATGGGCAACAGAGAGAGACCCTGTCTCAAAAAAACACAAAAAAACAAACAAAACAAAACAAAACAAAACAAAAAACAGTCTGCTTAGGGCTCAGGTCAGGCTGTCACTTCACCAGGAAGTGGTAAAGGAAACACACACACACACACACACTACCCAGACATTTCAAACTTGTGATAGATGATACAGTTGTTCGGTCAAAGCGTTCACTTCTTGTCGTAGAAACTGATCACTTGTCTGAACACCTAGAACCATCCCATTAGAAAAAGAGAAGGATGGCCTCTTCCTTCTATCCGTACCTTTCTACCACTTTGGGAAACTGGTGCTCACAAGAAACGAAGTCTCATTTCATTTGCAAGTTCCCTGGCCCTAGATGAAATTGATGGTGATTTTTTTCACTTCCTTAAACATAGCTCATCCACATTTATTTTTACAAGGAAGGCTCTTGCTTGTATACACACTCCTGCAGAATCCATGAGCTTATATTCCCTCTGGGCAGGTGTATCTCAGCTCCCCGTAGATACACCTTAGCTTCGTATCTGGTCATGCCCAGGACAACGTTTGCAGAGACAATGGTTCTCACCTGGGAGTCAGGAAGCTGAACCCGCAGGTCACTGCAGACCAAATCCTATGCTAATCTCGTCTGAGTTTCCTATGTGCCACCTCCTAGCATAGCCTTTATCATTAGATTAGAAAATTCAGAAGTCCAAGATTCAATGAGAAATTCACTTTAGTCTTGCATCATTCGTGTGACGATAAGGGAAATAAGCATCCTGAGAAGGAAAGGGTTGGCTTTCTTTTCATGGCAGAAAAAACCTATGGTGTTTATATTATACAGGACTAGGGATTTGAAATGAGCCTCTTGACAGCAGTAGTGACACTGAGTCATCTTCATTTGCTTCTCCCGCAACATCTTTTATCGATTGTGAAAAGCACAGCCAACAGATTATTTTCCCCGCCAGAGCCCCAGTGCCTGGGATGCCAAGGGTGCTTACCTGCCACAAAATCACCAAAGCCCACCGTGGTCAGAGTGACCACCACAAAGTAAATGGACTCCAAGGCCGTCCAGCCCTCAATATACTTAAAGATGACAGCAGGGATCGTCACAAACACAATGCAGCCGGCCAAGATGAACAGGATGGTTGAGATGACGCGGATCTTGGTCTGACTCACTTGCTTTTTCTAGAAAGAGCAAAGGAGAAAGATAGGCAAGTCAGCAGCATCACCCTGGATTCAGGATACAGAGGCACAGAAAAAGGTATTGTGTCAGTGACTTTTAACTTTTCTCTGGTCATTGGCTGCTTGGAGGAAGTTTTATGAACGCTGTGAACTCCTTCCTAGAAAAGTGCACAAACAGAAGTTTTCAAGTGGTCTAGGAGGTTCTCAGGCTTCCTGAAGCCTGTTCCTGGACAACAGGTCAAACAAACAAACAAAAAATCCTGCTTAGCCGAAGCTTTGAATGTTTCTTGCATGGTTCCATGACTGCAGCCCAAATACTGATTCTAACTTCTCACTGGTACAAATATAATGATTTCCCAAAAAGGGCTTGCTGCCATTTGTCATGTATTATTACTGATCCTCCATCCGTGAGAATGAGTTTGGAACTTTTTCCACAATGGTGGTGATGGATTTGCACCATTTCCCTTGTGTCAAACAGAATATGTCAAACAGAATATGCTGGAAAAACAATTATCCGAGTCAGGCCAAAATGTTTGGATGAAACGGAAAACACAGTCATCCCCATCTTCACTTGTGACTGACTCTAGCCAAGTATTTGTGTGTTTCTTCACCCCCACCTTTTCCCTGCTGAAGCTGTACATTTATAACACACTTTTGTTTTAAAACACACCTGTTTGAGCTGGTGCTGTGATCATCATGTGTGCTGACTGTATCACTCACAAGAGACAGGACAGGAGTTAGCATAACAGGGTCCCCATCTAAATGGGTAGTAGGATGACAATTAGATTGACTTAATGATCTGTGGTGAAATCTCCTTTGGGGCTTTGAAATTTTTATACATCTCTGCAAACAAATCTCATCTCATGCCAGCTCTTGAAGGAGTCAGTTATCGGGTCATTAAAAAAAAAAAAAAAAGCATCTAGAATGGGAACTACACTGATACTGGGGCAAAGGAATCATACCAATGGAGTCCAGGAGTGGGAATGGTAGCATCGGTGATATTCTCTTTGGATGTGCTGAAGGCAACACTTGAATTGACTCTAAGCTGAAAAATCCTCACAACTTTCAGAATTGGTGCTGGAGACTGTCACCAGGAGGCCCTGGTATCATATACTAGCATAAATATATGAACGATGTGTTTAGCAGCAGAATGTATGGCCTTTCTACATTGCCTAGATGAATTTTCTGCAAACGTACACCACATTTAGGGCAATCAGTATAGGAAATCCGTACCATGAGACTAGCATCCTCTTCATTGCACCAAGCACAGAGAGACTTTTGCTTTATATACTTCATTTTACACATGCAAAACAGAAGCCAAGAGGGGTTAAGGGACTTGCATAAAATGATGCTACTAATTAGCTGAGATTAGAATTCTGATGTAATTAATTCTCAGTCCAGTGCTTAACAATGGAAACAGCTTTTCAAGTAATTCAACAATTCACCAGCCCAAAGAAAGTTGTCAAACAAAGTCGTCTGCATCTAACAAAAGAAATCAGACTAACTCCTGCTGAAAATGGGCAGTCCTCTGTCCCTTCTGCGAAGAAGACTGAGAATAAAAAATGGTCACTGGGTGATCCGTCCAGGAAAAGCTAAAGAAATGCCACCCTCCCTTGTAAAAAGGAGGTACTTTTCTAACTCCTAAGAAGGTATCTGGTATATAAAATGGGAACAGGGAAAAATAATTTGATCTATGCTTGGATATAGAAACCCTCCTAATCTCAGAGAAGCCATCTGAAAAAAAAAATACAATTTATTGATATTGTTGAAACTGTACATGAACATATTGACTTTTTCACACATGAAAGTGTCATAACAAGATACATTACGTGAAAACTGCAGGGAAAGTTTTGTCCATTTTATAAATTTCCATGTTGGATATTATAGGAGGGTTTTGCGAAGGCAGGTAAGCCCCTCTGAGAATCCAGGAACATACTTTAACTAACCTAATTTTGTTTGCAGAAATGTATGAAAAGTTCAAAGGCCAAAAGGAGATTTCGCCATAGGTCATTAAGTCAATCTAATTGCTAGCAATGGGAGCACTATTCCTCCTCAAATATTCCTCCTCAAACGTATAATGAAATTAAAATGAATTAAATGTTTGTGAGATGCTTGTTAAGTCATAAATTAAGATGTGAATGTAATTTCAATCTAAATGAGGTTGAGGTTGGCAAAAGAGGACTGCAAGTACGTAGGAAGCTGGAGACGTTCCTGGACTTCAGGAGATGGGCAGGAGGGAAGATGGGGAAGGACAGGGGTGGATTTGTTTGATGGCAGACAAGGAGGTGTATAACAAATGCTAGATCGTGGCATCTTAATTGCATCATCTACCAGAGACTTTATCAGCAAGATAAACACTTCACCATTACTCATTGCCCAGGCCAACAAGTGTGTTCCTGGGCTGCTTCTCCCAGACATCCAAGGGTGATGCTCAGAGAATGTTTGGAGCATTTAATTATCAGGGTATTTTAGGGACTTAAGAAATGAGTGTCTTGCATGTGTATATGTGTGTAGGTGGATGAAAATATGTGTATACCCATACTTCGCTATAAAAAGAAGTGCTGTGGGTGTAAGGTTTTAGCAATATCTGTTATTCTGGATACCCATGTTTTTGCTGCCCTCTAGGTATTAAAAAAAAAAAAAGTTGCCTTAATTGAACATTTTAAATTGCAGCTTTCACAATGGAATCACAAACCATCTCATGTACCGTGTGATGATCTTCAGTTTTCTTATCTCCATTAGTCCTGTAACTGTTCACTACTGCTGAAAAGCCATAATAGTGTTTAAGAACACAGAGTCTAGGCAAAGACTGCCTGAGACACATCCCATTCCCATTGCTAAATAGCTGAGTGACCTTAGGCAAGTTTCTTAACCTCTCTGTGCATTAGGTTTTTTTTCTCTATAAAATGGAGATATGAAACCCCACCTTATCAGATTGTTTGGAAGATTAAACAAGTGTGTAAACACTTAGCACAGTGCCTGGTTAATATTCAATGCTTGTTAACAGGCCATTTTAATGTAAATGCTCAAATTTTTCCTTAGACATAGACAGTCCCAGGTTGAATGCTTCTCTTTGCCATTGAGGAATGTTCCCTCATACGTGGCTTGAGATAATCTTTGTTTAGCTTCAGGAGTTTGCTGCTGGTTGTCTTTTCCTGGATATATTGTATACCTCATTGTCAATGACAAAAAATGTCCTCATTCTCCTTTGGTTCTTCTTGCCAACTCTGGTTTGAGCTCTCAGACAGTCTCAGCTCACAATCTTGGAAGCTTTTTTATTTGTCTTCCAATTAATTCCACCCTACTTCCAAAACCCCAGGCTCAGCCACCTCCCCATCCCATTTTTCATCATCCTTCAGAAACTGCCAAGAATTGCAGATAATGTTTGCAATGTTAGGAACCAGCTGCAGAGGGATTCTGAGAGGCACAAACCTCGCTCTCCCTGCCTCCCTGCCACTCCCCCTGCCACTTACAGTATGGAGCTGTGTTTCCACGGTGGGGTTGCTAGGCAAAATTGCATTGCTTACTTACCAGTAAGCAGAGCCGCTAGCAGAAAGCTCTGTGAGAGCCCAGATCGAACTAAGCTAATGTGTCCTTAAGCTAACAAAACTGTTATCAGGGAAGAGATGGTCTGATATGACATTTGGGTAGAACTGATAGGATGGTTGTGTACTTCTGTTTAAATCATGTTTTCACACATTGTTGATTGGTTAGACTAGAGCGCGTGTTCTTCCCTTCTCTTTACACAAACAGTATTTTGCAAAACTATCTCCCATATCTGATTGATACAAACTAGAGGAATTTCTGAAGTACTCAAAACCCATCTCCTGTAGAGTTGTTCATTCAGTTGTTAAAATTATATGTGCAATTGTTTCAAAGACCAAGTAAGCTTCTAAACAGGAGGAGAGGGAGCCAGTTCTAAGAGCTCTCTTTTGAGAGAGGGATGTATGGACTGACAATTCGGGAAGTGTTTACTTGTTTCAGGCCTCAGAGGGCTAAGCCACATGTCCAATTCTCATTAAGCATAATTCTCCGCCTGTTTTTGTTTACTTCCACAATGTTATTTTGGAGAGCATGTATATTTCCATTCATTTGTGGGCTATTTTTTTCATTTAATTTTTACCCACTCTTTAATCCCCATTGTTTGCATCTTTATGTAATTTCTTAGAATTCTGAGATTAACAATTCAGATTGTTTTGTCTGGCTGGGAAATTACTTATTCGTTGTGATTTCTAGCCAGGATGTCGGGGATTTTACTCAAGAATAAAGACACTGCAGTAAAAATCCTAAGGCAGAAGCTAAATATGCAGAGCTCGATTTATGGCTTGGTTTGTTGAAATGCAAACACATCACCATAGTAATACAACTGAACTGAGGATAATTTCTCAAAATGGAAAAATAATGGGAACTGCCTCGTAAGAGGACTGACTTCATTTTCTTATAACATGTTTTCTTCCAAGATTTATTTTAGAAGGTTCACTTACAACTAATAATTTCAACATCACAATGAATGGCCTTGTGGCACTAGCAATTCTATAAACTATGAGTAGAGCTTTTAAACATCTTTGCCTAAAATCTCCATGGTAGAGATGCCGTAAGCACACGTTAGTGAGAATAGTGAAGTGAAACCTTCATGAAGCCTACTGAAAAAGTCCCACTCAAGAGTTGAATACACAAATGGATCATATCTACACACACAAAGAAAGTTTATCTCCAGCTTCTGACTCTGAGTCATGTTGCATGACACCTATGACAGACTGGCCAGTTCAGTACTCTGCTGGTTTCACTATGCAAAGTTTTTGAAAAAGATGTTGGTATATACGGGTAAACTGTTTTTATCACTAGACTACCAATATAGGTGCATCTGGGATGGAAAAAAAAAGAAAATTCACAAATAATAAAAACTCAGGCCAGGCGTGGTGGCTCACGCCTGTAATCCCAGCTCTTCGGAAGGCTAAGTTCAGAAGTTCAAGACCTGCCTGGCCAACATGGGGAAACCCCAT